TGGCTGATTAGAAATTAAGTGTTAACGAGCAGTTGGACAGGTGTACCTAACAAAGTGGCCGGTGAGTGTATTTTATGCTCTGTTCTGTTCTCTCATGTGCTTCAGTTAGTAGTGGTTAGTCGCAGGGTTTAAAGCGTGCAGTAAGCATCTTCATTATGTGAGCTGGTCTCGTGGATGTGCAAGCAGAGGTCACATATTGAGATGGCTGGTTCAAGACCTCTTCTTAGGAAGAAAAATGTTTTCCACTCAGAGCTGGTCCGTGGCGTAGACAGTATAGGTGAATGTCATTGTCAAATTTATTTATATAGCACAATAAAAACAACAAAAGCTGACCAAAATGCTTTACAGTCCAGTCAAGACTTGTATCAAAAGACAAACAAATATATATAAATGCAATACAGAAACACACTATAATATATAAAAAGCTCTAACCGAACCTCCAACTYGGTCTTAATCAAAAGCCAAAGAAAAAAGAGATGAGTCTTCAGCAAAGATTTAAAAGCCTCAACAGTCTCTGCTGACTGATTTGTAAGAGGAAGACTGCCAATGCTAAAAGCGCCATCCTTTTAGGGGGCGCCACTATTGGGAGATGAAATCATTGTTTTGTTTTGTTTTTTTACTTTTTTATCAAAGTATAGTTGCTTTAGTCTGTAAAATAAGTACTACTAATAATTACTACTGGTTACGAGGGGTGCACCAATAAATTTGCTCCGATTTCCTTAGTTTTGGGAGATCAGAGATCTGCCRATACTTGGATAAGATCAGTGGAAAAGATCTGCTTCTCTACTTCCACAAAGGTCTGAAAATCAGCCTTTTCCCCTTTTGCTCTGCTGTGAGCACTACAGGTTTGCATTGTTCCAATGGTATTGTGTAATATTTTTCAATAAAGTAAAATTGGAACATTGAAGGTGTTTTGTAACCTTATAACACTTGACAGTGTCAGCTGTTTAAAAAATGAATATCGACAGGTCAGACTTTTTAATAGAGCTTGGCGATATGATCAAAATTTTATATCACGGTATTTTCAACATTTTCACCGGTTTCACAGTATTTGACGGTATTTTTCTTTTCATCACAGCTCAGCTAATAATAAAATGTACAAACCCTACTCATTGAGTTTTTTTTTTTCTTTTACTGTACCTCTCTCTGTGTCTCTGTTTCCCTCCTCTGCGACTGTTTTTCTCTGACTGGTGGTTGGAGACAGTAGTCACGCATTTTGGTCCAGTCGTGAAGGAGCAGGGTTAAGAAAAGATTATGATCGGGTTTATTGTTTTATGTTATTTATTAAAGCTTATCAGCACGACTCACCTTGCACACCAGTCAATTCCAACTC